AAGTGAATATTTCATAGAAAACATGTGCTTACCTTTTCCACATCAGAATGAAGTCCTTTAGAGTATCCAAACACCAGGTGCTCTGCTACTGTCTCTTAAAAAGATTCATGGGCAGCAGAAGTATATTTGCATGAAACTAAGAACTCAGACCTTAATATTGCTTAATGAAGTATCTTAGTGGATGAATTTAACCTTCTAACAGATTTGAATAGGAACTTATCAAAACAATTCCAGGTTCTTCAAAACAATAATGTCAATATCATCTTATTTTTGTAGAACTTTTAGTATCATATGAATTAAATTATTCTTACCAAATAGTAGGATGACCATAGCCATAAAACCACGTCGTTCAAATGATTGAGTTGTAGTTGTTGTGCCTCTTTTGTTTTTTTTCCTTCTTTAACTTGTTTCATCATCTCCTCTCTCTCCCTCATAAGCTTTTCACGATCTCTTTGGAGCTCCTCTTTCTCCGTCATTAGCTCTTCGTGATCTCTTTGGCGTTTCCCGCAAAGAACCTTCATCTCAGCTCTCATATGTTTATCACGAGCTCGTGTCGCACTATCACACGTCGAAGAGGGTTGTGGGCCTATGCCAAATCTATGCTAGTAAATTTTTTTTTCTCGGTCCTAGCACTTGCCTTGACAGTTCCTCCTATTGGGGAAAAGGATGTTGATTAGTTTGTTAGAGAAGTGCTTAGGAAATGACGCCTGAATCCTAATAGACATGGAGAGCCTGCAAATGGACCTCATTACCAAACACACAAAACATTTTAAACGCAGTTGATTTATTGTACACATAGATATGACAATATACTCTTTCAATCTCCACTGCACACCCAAATTGTGAGTAAAAAATTGGACCCAAAGTCTAAGTTATTGAGCATTGTTTTGTTATACCAAGACCACATAATAAAGGAAAAAAATAGCAAGAAATTATATCCCTAACAACCATAAAAAAGTAAATTCTTAGACAAAAGTTTCAACAAAGGATTAGCTTCCACGATGAAAACAACTTATGAACTTTACTCTGGATAACCAAGTAGTGTCTCTGAATTAAGTCGTTATATATATGTCTATTTTTTAATTGTATACTTTTTGATTGTGGACTAGTATATAATATTCACTATCATTGACAAACACCAAAAATGATGGAATGGAAGATGGAAGGCACTTAGCTTTGTGTGATATTATATATTTTTCAATTTAGGCATATTTTTCCTAAATTCCTAATATGCCAAATGCTCATTTGCAATGCTTAGTGCAACCTGAATGAAACTCAATCATTGTGAATCACATCATACAAACTAGCACCAAATCAATCCACCTCCCACCCAAATACAACCCAAATAGTATTGAATTATGCCATGACACCATCTTTAAGTTCACCAGCCAGCAGTTTGGAAACATGAGTACTTCTTTCAAAACAAGCGATTCCAAAATGAAAATTATTAACTAGTAGAATATGATGGTATATGCAACTAAGTTCTATTATGAGGAATAATAAATAAATAAATAAAAATTACACAATAATCTCCCCACCCCCATTTATGTTCCAAAATGTCTCTAACTCTTCATAGTTAAATGTAATTAAAGCATATGAATTAAAAATACATATCTGCAGGATAACAAATATGATCTCTGCCCAATTCTTTCCTACAGATACGTCCTAACATGCAATCTGTTATAAACATGTAAGCAATGACTTGTGCCTTACATGTTGGCATATAGACCTATATATATCAATAGGTGCCTAAGTCCATGTGTACGGTCCACATGTTCGATCAAGATGAACAGGTTTAAAAAGACAATGACACTTCGTTTTCTTAGATCCTACAACTCATTATTATGAAGCTCACTAATCTAACCCCATGTGGCAATCATGATTATATATAGGTTGTCTTATAGACTTCATTGTTGCGATGTTCATACCAAGCACAACATTACTTGACTATAGTGGTTATATAGCTAATCCTTCATCATCGTGGAAGTTGCCGCAAGCTCATAAACATAGCCAAGAGGCAAAGCCTGGGCATGTTGAAGCCTTTGGCACTCATTGTGGTATTCTTTGGGATTTGTGACTCAAAGCTAGAGAAATGAGGCTTCTCCAAAGCACCATAGCGCACATGGGTCAAGCTGCCTAAGGCACCTCATCAAGAGATAATCCTAATGGTCTACCAAAATGTATCCTAACATAGTGACTTCCCTATAGATATGGGATATGTGCTTATCTTATATACATATATAGGCTGGAATTTCCATTACATGCAAATACATACACATTGATTGATTAGGGCTTTGACACTAATGAGAGAGAAAGGAAAAAAAAAGGGGAAAATGTTTGAAACCCCTAAAATCAAACCCATTTAAGACATCAAAACCCATAAAACTTTAGAAATTAAACCACTTCAAGCAAACCCATTTTTCGAAATCAACACGAAATTAAACTGAAGAAATCATAAAAACCCTAGAGCAAGATTCAGAAAGGGGGAAATAGAGAAAGAAGGGGATGAGAGAGAGAGAGAGAGAAAGAGAGAGAGAGAGAGAAAATGAGAGATAGACTGAGAGTGAAAGAGAAAGAGAGAACCTGTGAGGAGGTGACGGTGACGGTAGTGATTTGTGGCAATGGCGATGGGCGATGATAGCGACGATCGTCTGCGCTTGTGAGGTGGGGTGGGGTTTGGTGGTGAGAGACAATCTGTGTGTGGGAGAGAGAAGAAATGAATGTGTAAACAGAGAACAGGGTGGGTGCGGATATTAATTCACTTCCCTCTAAAAGTGTTATACCATTAGCGACTAAAATATTTATTTGTCAGCAAATAGTAATATATAATGACTAAAAATTTGGTAGCCCAAGCTTAGTAACGGCAACTAAAATATTAGTCGTTAAAAGTAGTAATTTGGCAACTAATTTGTTTATTTGTCGGAAAAAATTTAGTATACCACAACTAATTTTATTTTCACCACCAAAAGTGCATATTTGCTGACAAAATATTTTGGTGGCCATTGAGTAAGAGTGAAAATATACCTGTTATTTGGCGACTAAACTTTCTTTTGTTGGTGATAATTAGTATACAATGACTAAAATAGAATTTAGTAGCCTAAAATGTATACTAACGCCAACTAAAGATTTTCTAGTCACCTATTATGGCATATTTAGCTACCAAAATTTTTTTTACCCGCCATTAAATAATATATCTCGACTAAAAAAATTTAATAGCTATAGTCTAAACAAACACCAACTAATACATTTTTTAGTTGCCAAAAAGTTAATTTTTGGCGACTAAATTTGTTTTAGTCATCAAAAGTGGCCGCCAAAAGTGTAAATTATTGTAGTGTCGGTTGCAAGGGTGGACCTAGGGGCATAGGTGGCTGTAGCCTAGCTCAAATTTTAAAAAATTTGTAGAAATTTTCTTTTTCAGCCCACCCAACCTAGCCTCCCAGTCCAGCCCAACGTCAAATAAGGGTCTATAGTTTTTTTGTTTGTTTTTTAGATAGGCAACCTAACAGTAGCCCAATACTTACCCAAAAAAATAAATAGGCAGCCCAATAGATTTGTAGTTTTTTAAAGAGGCAACCTAAAAAATAAGCAGCCCAAAAATATAAATAGACAGCCCCATAAGCAGTTTCTCTCGGACTCATCTTCACTTCCTCTTCTTTTTCTTCCCATCGGTGGTACAGGTACTACTCTTTCATGACTTTGAGCTTTTTTTTCTTTTTCTTTTTTTCCTTTTCTGTCTTCTTCTTAATCTTGTTTTGGTTATCTGACATTTCATAACTTCATGGCATGAATGGATTTTTTTTCTTTATCTTTTTTTCTTCTTAATCTTTTTTGCTCTTAATCAAAAGAATCTTTTTTGCTCTTAACCTTTTTGTTCTATATTGCTCTTAGTTTTTCAACTTTGAACAGTTTTTTTTTTTTTTTGGACATGTATCAAAATAATGAAAGCCTAAATAAAAATTATTGAGGATATATATAAAAATCCTAATTAAAATTATTGCAAATATACTTTGGTTTAATATTAAATAGGGCTATTTTTTTATAATTTTTTTAGATTATAAATAATGGAACCTCCACCACTCAAAAAAGGCAAAACCCTTTTCTCATTCTATCAATCAAAATAGAAGTCTAGTAGTATAACATCCAATGTTGTTGAAATCTCATTTTCTGATGTGCAATCGCCTTCCATGCCTCAAGCAAATAAACCAAGCAAATTTGATTCAATTGTTATTGAATGAGGATCTTGGTTTGCGCTTGCAAATTTGTGAATATCCGGTTAATCAACGGATGAGGTTAGACGAGCTTATGTGAACTTGGGGCCTTATCAACCTAAACTTGAGTATCCTAGGTCCTCATTTGGAAAGCAGAATCGCCGATTCCAACATATTTGGTTTAAACAATTTTCTTGGCTAGAGTATTCTCTTTCAAAGGATAAAACATATTGCTTTTCATGCTTTTTGTTTGATCATCCAAATAAGTCGATCAATCATTTTGCACTTGTTGATGAGGGGTTTAACAATTGGAAGAGAGTAAATGATGGATCCAAATGTGTTTTTTGCTTCATGTCGAACTTGCATCTTTATCGCATAGTCATTGTGTTATTAGTCATGACAATTTAAAAAAATCTTCTTCACACATTGAAAAAGTGTTGAATGCGCAATCAAAAGAAGAAATTTTGAAGAATTGAATGCAAGTAAAAGCAACAATTGAAACTATTCAAATACTTACTCTTCAAGGACTTGGTTTTAGAGGTCATGATGAAAGCTCAACTTCATTAAATCAAGGTAATCTAATTGAATTATTAAAGTTCAAGGTGAGAGGGAATGATGCACTTGAGAGCATTATATTAAAGAATGCTCCACAAAATGCCAAATACACTTCTCCAAAGATGCAAAAGGAGATTTCGCATATACTTGCTATCAGAATTAGGAATATGATTTTTGACGAAGTTGCAAGAGGTTATTTTTGTTGATGAATCCCAAGATGAGTCTAAAAAAAAACAAATGGCCCTTATTTTGATGTACGTCAAGAATAATGATTTGCTAGGGGAATGGTTCTTTGATATCATGGGTGTCAAAAATACTTCTGCATTGACTCTTAAAAAAGAGATATCGAATATCCTTTCTCAATTTAATCTCCCTATTCAAAACATGCATGGTCAAGGATATGATGGTGCTAGCAATATGCGTGGCAAATGGAATGGACTTCAAGCTTTATTTCTTAAAGATTGCCCATATGCATATTATGTACATTGCTTTGCACATCATCTGCAATTGGCCTTAATTGCGGCAGCAAAAGATGAGCCTAATGTTTGGCAATTTTTTTCTCACTTGAGTTGTCTTCTCCAAAGCACCTTGGTGAGTTAAAATCTTTTCATAGGAGTGAGGTTGAAAAGATATTGGCTAGTGGTGAGCGTCAAGTTGGTAAAGGGGCCAATCAAATTGGTACCTTGCATCGAGCTGAAGCTACTCGTTGGAGCTTGCATTATGACTCTGTTAGAAACTTGATTGATATGTATGAGGCATCTTGTGTAGTTGTTGAAAGTCTCAAGAAGAGTACAAATCAACAAATTCGCAGGCAAGCTAATGGTGTTTACAAAGTGATGAAGAGTTTTGAATTCATATTCGTCTTGCACTTGATGGACAACATTTTGAGAATCGTGAATACACTTTGTCAAGCCTTGCAATAGAAAACTCAAGACATCTTAAATGCGGTGAAATTAGTCTCTACAACAAAAGCTCTCCTTCAAAAACTTAGACAAGATGATTGGGATATTTTTCTTGCAAATGTGGTGTCATTTCGCCATCGACACAACATTGCGGTATATGATATGAGTTCTCCTTATGAAGAGGGTACAAGTCGTTGTCATCAACAAGATTACATTACAATTGAGCATCATTATCACTTTGACATATTCAACTCTACAATTGATTTTCAATTGATGGAGTTAGAACATAGATTTAATGATGGGGTAGTAAAACTTCTTTCTCTTAGCTCGACTTTTGATCCAAGTGGCAATTTTAAATCTTTTAATGTGGATAATATTTGCAATCTTGTTGAGAAATTTTATCCCCAAGATTTCACTTCTCAAGACATCCATGCTTTGAGATGTCAATTAATGCATTATAAGCTTGATGTTGTTTGTGATCCCAAGTTTCATAAGATATCTACCCTTGCCGAATTGTGCCGAGAACTATGTGACAAGAAAGTTCGAGCATTACACCATGATCTACAAATTGATTCGTCTTGTGTCAACCTTTCCTATTTCTACAGCGACTACGGAAAGAGCATTTTCGGGTATGAAGCATATTAAAACTACCATTCGCAATTCAATGGGAGATGAGTTTTTTGCCGATTGCTTGTCTCTCTACCTTGAACGAGACCTTACTTTGAAAATTGATCTAGATTCTGTAATCGATGAATTTGAATTTTTAAAAACTCATCGAGCACAACTTTGTTAGATTATTTTTAATCAATAAATTTAGATATCAATTTAGATTATATTATAAAATTCTCTTTTTTTTTTTTTATGTGGTTATACTAAAAATCTATATTGTATAATTTTACTTTAATATTAGGCCACCCCATCGACAAATTCTGGGTTTGCCCTTGGTCGGTTGGTGTCTTACCATCTTCACACCTAGTGTTCATTTTGGGCTGTATGTATCTAAACTTGGGATTCTCGGTTTAGTTAAGTTCTACCTCTTCCCAAAGCTTTAATTTTATTGATGTAATGTTTACCTTTTGATCATATCCACAATTTTTTTTTTCTATAAAAGAAAAAATAATCCAAATGCCCATTCTAAAATTCTCACAATTTTAAACATTTCTCCCTTATATTACCTTCTTTTGTTGTGCTTTTTTTCTCCATTGTTTTCTCCTTTTCGGTTTTTGGCTTGTAAGTTTTGGATTATCATGTTGGATTTTATCCTATAGATTGTTTACAAATTCGAATTTGATTTGAGACTGGATGGATTTGACATTTTTTCTAGGGAGGTGAATTTTTTTGCTTCATAATATGGACTAGAGGGTATTATTTGGATCAGTAGGGTCTATCATGAGTCTCATTTCAATTATCTGAATCGTTCATTTTGTCGGGTAATTCATGTATATCATTTACAAAAAAAAAAAAAATGACCGATCCGGTAATCATAATTTATTTCATTTATTGTGTTTGTTACAAAAATAAATAAATAATAATAATAATGGTCTATTTTAAAACAAACAATTGTCATTTATTTAATTTTTTTTTTTTTTGTGACAAATACAATAAATTGAATAGGTTAAAATTATTGGATGAATCTAATTTTTGTGTGAGTGATATACTCGAAATACCCGACAAAATAAATAATTTGAATTATCAAAATATGTGGTGAGCCCCATGAGTCCAAACAACGCCCTTCAATCCATAATCTGGACTGGTGGAAATTAATCCTCCTCCTTTTTATAACCTCTTTATTTTATTTTAATGTTTTGATCTTATGGAATCTCCTCATTATCCACAATTTCCAATCTCTTCTTATTTTTCTGTTTTTTTTTTTTTTTTTTTTTTTTGGTTGTTCTCAATCTTCACCCCCCATGTTTAACTAGACAACTGAAACATCTGTTTGTAATTTGGAGAGCAATACTCTTGAAATGCCAAGACTCTCTGCCTTCACAACAACACAACCCCAGAAGCTTACAACCCTTGCCTTATTAATTTTACAGTAATGCTATATCCCACCAATTTTGGACCTCCAAAAATCAATTCCTAATGACAAGACAAATATTTATTAAATAATTTTTATGTTTTAGTGGAGTTCCCAAGAGATGTGACTTATTGACAAATCACTTGCGGCTAATTTGGGGTCCAAAATTGGTGGTTAAAAACATTTTCCTTAATTTTATGGTACCTTTTAGAAATTGCAACCAAAGCAAGATATCGACCCATGACACAAACAACCTCTACCTCTCACACAGGCATCTAAAAATTCAACTAAGAGATGCAAGAGTCCAAAACACATAATTCTTGACATGTCTTGTAAGAGAGTTTGCCTCGGCACCATGCCATTGCAGGGTTTTGTTGTTTTTTACTTGTGGATTTTGTTGCTTTTGTTGCATGTGAAGAAGAAGAAGAGACAAGGACACTCAAGTGTGTCCTATAATATAACATGCTCCACATAAACACACAACATTTTTTTTTTGGCTGAACGTTTTACTGAAACTGTACACTGTTCAGTTGTTGCAATCACCCCATGACCTAAATGTGCCAATATGTTGCTTATTCTATAAGATTATTTCGAATATTGAGTAGCCTCTACAAGCATGGAAATTCGGTTCACTCATTTCATAGTTAATTCTGTGAATGATTGCTGTATAAATAAACGAGATCAGTAAAGTTCGTGTTTGGTTGTCATCTTATATATTTTTTTATTCTTGGTGATGACAATTAGCTAGGATGAAGCATGTACCAATTAGCACAGCAAATTTACCTATTTATGAGAAGCCATTTAGTGTACACTGTAAGACAGGAATTGTGTTGACTAGGTTCACTGTTTGGTGATGAACATTTTGTCTAGTTGTGTAGACTTGAATTGTGGTAAAAAGAACCATCTTTTGGAATTATTAGTTTCTGTTTCAATGTGAAACGTAGTAAATCATCAAAGTTTGATAATTGTAATCAACAAAAGAATGACTGATTTTATTAAGAAATCACAAATATTGCCGTGCATAACCCTCGCGCAGTATCAGATTCAGGGTTGGCCTTAAACCAAGATGAGCAAAGTGGCATTGGGCCTCCAAATTCAGTTAAATTTTAAGGGTCTCAAATAATTTTAACTCTTATATTGTTAGTAGATGTAAAATAAAACCCCAAATCAACTAATTTTACTTCACAATCTAAGTTAAATTCACAATCTAAGTTAAATGTCCTTAGAGCATCTCCAAGCCTTCATTATTATTTTTCATTTAATTTGATTCCAAATTTGAGTAAAAAAACTTATTTTGATATAAATTACTCCAATCATTTTATTAACTTCTTTATCAAAAAATATTTTTAAAATTCTTCTACTATCCCAAATTTTCCTTTTCATCAAATTTGATTATAAAATTTTTTTTATATAAAATGCTTTATCTTTTTAAATTTTCATTACAATTTTCAATTTGATAAAAAAATATTTTTTCTTGATTTAATAAATGCTTGATGAAATGATTAGAGATGGTTTATGTGTGGGTGTAAGTGAAAAAAAAAAATTGCAAGTATTTATCATTTTACCCACAAATGTTTTATTTTTTATTTATGATTATGTATACATTAATACTATATACTCTTAAAAATTAACTAATTTTTTTTTATTTTAATAGATCTCATTTATTCTAAGTATAGCTTACATCACACTAATTTTAAATTTAAATTATACACTTTCAGAGTAAAATATGAATAAATGATTTTTTTTATACTTATTTTATATATCTACACATAAAGAACCCCAATTTTGAGACTTCATCTTGGGCGTCGAATCTGGGCTGGCCCTGATCAGATTGCATGGTTGTGACCCTCCATTAGGCAAAATGAGGGCCTTGTTTGGTTCTTTTTTCAAAAAAAAAAAAAAAAAAATTTTGAAAAAAAAAAAAAAAAAAAACTAATCAGCTTGTTTGGTTTTGATTTTCAGAAAATACTTTTCAGAAAATTCTATTTTTTTAATTTTTTTTCTAAAAGATAAAATAATGTAAAAATGATAAGTATTTTTTTAATTCTTTCACCAAATTAATTTTTTTTTTTTTTTTTTTTTTAAATCTGAAACAAATTTCTCAAAACCAAACCAAAACGATCTCGGTTGGTCATTTTGAATGAAAATCTTACTCCGGGATAAATTGCCCCCATCTTCATATGACAAAGTAATCTTTCATTTGTTAAATAAAAAGATTTTCAGATAAATTGTGTGTCACAAATTTGAATTAAATATAATATTAGTTTATCTTAGATAAAATAGTCATGTCCCTTATCAGAAGGAAGGAATAATGATTTGTTCCATCTAAGAACTCAAGATAGATATGATATGACTCGATGAATGCTAATTAAAGATTAACAAAATATGTGAAAACAAGAATTTCTGGAGATTAATGTCGTACATAGCTCCTCCTAAGAAGGACAAATACCTCTGATTTCTTTTCTTCTATAATTTCATATAACAATAATGCTAAAATAGAGCACACAAAAAATATACAAAAAATATATTATGTGGGTTAAATTCACTTCGAGTGTAGTGTATGTCACACTTAAAATAAATCTTGGCAACATATAGTTTCTGATTTCTATTTTGTAAACTTAGCATTATTGTTTATATACACATCAAGATATATTAAACCTATATTTTAAAATCTAGGGTTATTTATACGGAAACCTCCTAAATTATTGAGAAGTATCACTTTGATTCTCGAAATCATAAAAGTGTACAAATGAACTTTCTAAACTATTGAGAAGTATCACTTTGACCCCCTAAAATATATAAAACATATAAATGGACCCCCTAAACTATTGGCATGTTTCATTTTGACCCTTTTCGTTACTGCACCGTGAGTTAAACTAAAATTTTAATATTTTTTAGACGAAAATACCTTTCAGCACTCTATATATTTACAATTCCATTATTATTGTTTTTTAATTTTTTTAAATATAAACATTCATCCATTATTATTGTTTTTAAATATTCTTTGAAAATATATTTTTGTAGAAAGAATGTTTTAAAAAAATACTAATAATAAAAAAAAAACTGAGAGGAGGTGTTGCTGAGTATATTGTGCCTGTTTGGTGCAGCTTAAAAGCTGCTTATTTCAGCTTTTAACTTAATTTAAGCTATTTTGATGTGTTTGGTTTAGCTTAACAATGCAGCTTATAGTTTTTTGTAAGTCAGAAATCAGCTTATTCTTTGAGTGGGCAGGAGATGTTTAATTTATAAGTCAAAAATCGGTTTATATTCATAATTATAAGCTATAAGCTGTTAAGGCATAAGCTATAAACACTTTCTCACAGCTCTACCAAACAAGGCCATTATATAGAGTGTTGAAGGATATTTTCGACTAATAATGTCAAAAGTTTGGTTTAACTCATTGTATAGTAACGAAAGAGGTTAAAGTAAACACGCTAATAATTTAGGGGGTTAATTTGTATGCTTTTAGTTTATGGGCCAAAATGATACTTCTCAATAATTTAGAGATCTATTTGTACGATTTTATAATTTAAAAGGTCAAAGTGATGTTGATATCCATGTAAATAACTTTCAAATATATTCAAATGACTCTTAAAATTCCAAAAACTCTAATTAAAGATTCAATACATCTAATGTACGAGTAATGTTACACTTACTACCATGTTATACCATTTATAATGTACCATCTCATGTAATAAATGTAAAAAAATGAATGGTAGGACTCAGTACACCAATGATAAGTTAACATATGAAGTGGTATAAATGTATTATTTCTAAATCAATTTCCAACCTCTTATCCTTTAAGAGTGTATTTGAATAATGATTTTTTTTTATTTAAAAAAAAAGGTGAAAAAAGTAGCAAAAATATCAATTAATTTTTTATTTTTAAAATTTAAATTTATGATTCAAAATCTTTAGTGTGGCGGATCAAATAAATCCTGTGAGAGAAAGAAGACAAAGATATATTAGCTGTCGAGGTCAGGGCATGGCTTCTTCGCCCACACTACCAGGACTCTCTCTCTCTCTCTCTCTCTCTCTCTCCAAACACCAAGCTTAGGACAGGAAAGGTTTTTTGTAGCCATTTTGCCTTTTGGAATGTGTCACAAGTCACCACCAATGGAAACCGACCACTTTCATTGAGAGAGAATGTCCATTTGCTTTATGATACTGACATCTCTTTGAATCTTCTTCTCATTTGAATAATTTCGAGATATCTAGGGTATACACCCTAAGAATGGAGGACAAATGCTTGTCTGCTAGGTAAATTCCTTTATGGAGAGACATAATTTTCTTCTTAGGAATAAGTTTCTAAGAGAGTTATGATAACTAACAAGGTTAATACTTGAAATGAATTCTTTATATTTTTTAAAATGATTTTTTCGAAGGTAGGAAGATTAATTCTCATAAGTACTAATCTAACAACTTAATAATTAAAAACTAATTTTTGCCAAAAAAAAAATTAAGGTAAAATCTCATTTTGTGATAAGGATAGACAAAAAAGTCGCCAAGGCTAGAAAAGTCATTGGAAACCAATGACCGGAGGTAGTAGATGGTGGTTGAGAAATGTGTGTTGAATGAGTGACATGTGTCACATTTTATCATATAATAATTTTATCATATAATTAGTTTGATGGATTTCAACAAATAGAGAAATATGTTGATTTCAATAGATAGGTTGACATCAAAAGATAGATTGATTGATTGATTTCAACACATAATTGTCATTTTCAATAAATTGTGTTCTATTGGCTCAAAAATATTAGAGTTTGGGCTTAATAATGGTCCAAAAGATTAAAAAATTGACTTATGGTGTGAGTACTCAAAATAGAATACCTTAAGGTTGTGTTTTAAATCTTTAACAAAATCTATAATTTATATATAGTCTAAAAAATATTATTTTTTTTGATCGACAAATGTTAGTTGTTAGATTAGCACATATGAGAGAAAATCTCCCAACCTTTGGCAAAGCATCTAAGTGCTTGCACTTCCTTAATTCAACCTCCCTAAGCAGAATTGAACCCATGACCTCCTTGAGACTAAACTTTAAGGAAGGCATGGTGGTAAACTAAGTTAGGCCTAATTCTAATGCTTTGTGATAAAAGTTATAAAATACATAAATTTGTAGTGTGCATCCCTTAAGTAAACCTTATGCATTTTTGTGATTATGTTATGAATGTTAATATATTATGAATAGTGTAGTGTTTTTTTTTTTTTTAAAAAAAAAGGTCTTAATTTTAATATTAAAATTATTCTTTTTTGAAAATGTAAAAATGTATTATTTTTTTGTATCTTTATCCGAATCTAATTTTCATTGGATTGATTGATTTTAGGAAAATGATATAAAAGCTCCTTTTTAGACTCACTTTCTAAATTCAAGAAAAATGATTGAATAATAATTAGAGAAGATATAAGAGAGAAAATTGTCATTATTGTATTTTTAATTACAAAATTGAGCATTCAGTAATGAATTACTATCCTTTTTTTACCAAAATTTTCTTCTTCTTCTTCTTCTTCTTCTTCTTCAAAAAAAAAAAAAAAAAAAAAAAAAAAGAAGTCGTCTTTTGGTACCAAATTATTTTGTTCCTAAAATGCATTTAGTAGCATTTTTAATTTTTTTTTATAGCTGAAAGGCCATTTTTTTAAAACTTTTTTGAGACGATCTTTTAGTTATAATTCTCGCGATGAGAGGAATTGATCTCCTAATATTTTTTACAATAAAAATTTCACTTTTAGGGATGAAAATGTTTGGTTCCTAAAATCCAAATATGTTGTAGTGACAAAAATAATTTAAATAAACTAAAAATTTAATCGTCAAGAAACAAAGAGTTATGTTTTTAGTTCCTTTTTTTATTACTCCATCTGTCCCAAAATAATGTTTTCTTTTGGGGAATTCAACTTTTTTTGATAGTACAATTATTATATTTTAAAATATTAATTTTCTATAATTACCCTTTAATAGAACATTTTTTTAGAAATATCAATTGTCATAATTGTATTTTTTGTGTTATTAATGAATTTAAAAGAAAGACAAAATAGTAAATTCATATTATTTTATTTTTTAATTTTTTGAAAATGGGCTAACATTTTGAAATAATGAAAAATAAAATAAGAAAATAATATTTTTAGACGGAGGGAGAATCAATTTTTAACTCATAAAAAATTACATCAAACAAAAATTTAAAGTAAAAGGAGGCTTATTCTCCAATTATAAGTTTTATTAATTTGTTTTGCGTGTCATATTATTTTACTTTAAATTTTATAACAAGGTTCTAAATATCGGCCGGTACGTTCCGGAATATGCCACCACCGAGTCGGATACTCACCGGTATACCGGTGAGAACGAATTTCGCGTCCGTAACGACCGATTCCCGCTACGTATCGGCTTGTATCCGATACGTGAGCGTTCCAATTCCGATATAGTCCGATTCGGCTGAAAAACGAGCAAAGCATATGGAAAAATAATTGAGGAAAGCAAGTCACATGGAAAAACAAATCACCTGGAGAAGCATCAAATCGGACCAAACCTCAAACCCAAATCAAACCCAATCGGACCAAACTCAACTCAACTCCCCAAAGTTTTCTCTCAATCGGACCAAACTCAACTCCCCAATCAAACCCAAATCCATCTTCCAGGGGCATTGATCTTGTAAAGTGTTGCAAGGAGAAGCGTCGAATCGAACCCAAACCATCACCGATTTCAAGTTCCTTCATTGAAGGTTTTTCTCTCATGCTCTGTTTACATTTGTTTCGTGCTCTACTTTTTGCTTTGGCTGAACACTTCAAATGGTTTTGCTTTTGATAGGTTTGTTTATATTATATTATGTTATATTATATTATTTTATGGTTTTGCTTCTTCAAATGGGTTTGCTGCTGTCCGGTTTGCTTTGTTTGGTTTGTTTATGTTATATTATGTTATTTTTTTTCTTCTTCAAATGGTTTGTTTATATTATATTATGTTATATTATATTATTTTATGGTTTTGCTTCTTCAAATGGGTTTGCTGCTGTCCGGTTTGCTTTGTTTGGTTTGTTTATGTTATATTATGTTATTTTTTTTCTTCTTCAAATGGTTTGTTTATATTATATTATGTTATATTATATTATTTTATGAAGATCGAAAAGGAGATTTTGCATATACTTGCTAACAGAATTAGGAATATGATTTTTGATGAAGTTGCAGGAGGTTATTTTTGTATTTTTGTTAATGAATCCCAAGATGAGTCTAAAAAAGAACAAATGACCCTTATTTTGAGATACGTCAAGAATGACGGTTTGCTAGGGGAACGGTTCTTTGATATCATGGGTGTCGAAAACACATCTGCATTGACTCTTAAAAAAGAGATATCGAATATCCTTTCTCGATTTAATCTCCTTATTCAAAACATGGGTTGTCAAGGGTATGATGGTGCTAGCAATATGCGTGGTGAATGGAATGGACTTCAACCTTTATTTCTTAAAGATTGCCCATATGCATATTATGTACATTGCTTTGCACATCGCCTGCAATTGGCCTTAATTGCGGCAGCAAAAGATGAGCCTAATGTTTGGCAATTTTTTTCTCACTTGAGTTGTACTGTCAATCTTGTTGCTTCTTCTCCAAAGCGCCTTGGTGAGTTAAAATCTTTTCATAGGAGTGAGGTGGAAAATATGTTGGCTAGTGGTGAGCGTCAATTTGGTAAAGGGGCCAATCAAATTAGTACCTTGCATTGAGCTGGAACTACTCGTTGGAGCTTGCATTATGACTCTGTTAGAAACTTGATTGATATGTATGAGGCATCTTGTGTAGTTGTTGAAAGTCTCAAGAAGAGTACAAATCAACAAATTCGCAGGCAAGCTAATGGTGTTTACAAAGTGATGAAGAGCTTTGAATTCATATTCGTCTTGTACTTGATGGACAACATTTTGAGAATCGTGAATACACTTTGTCAAGTCTTGCAACAGAAAACTCAAGACATCTTAAATGCGATGAAATTAGTCTCCACAACAAAAGCTCTCATTCAAAAACTTAGACAAGATGATTGGGATATTTTTCTTGCAAATGTGGTGTCATTTTGCAATCGACACAACATTGCGGTACATGATATGAGTTCTCCTTATGAAGAGGGTACAAGTCGTCGTCATCAACAAGATTACATTACAATTGAGCATCATTATCACTTTGACATATTCAACTCTACAATTGATTTTCAATTGATAGAGTTAGAACATAGATTTAATGATGGGGTAGTGGAACTTCTTTCTCTGAGCTCGACTTTGGATCCTAGTGGCAATTTGAGATCTTTTAATGTGGATAATATTTGCAATCTTGCCGAGAAATTTTATTCCCAAGATTTCACTTCTCAAGACATCCATGCTTTGAGATGTCAATTAATGCATTATAAGCTTGATGTTGTTTGTGATCCCGAGTTTCATAAGATATCTACCCTTGCCGAATTGTGCCGAGAACTATTTGTGACAAGAAAGTTCGAGCATTACAGCATGATCTACAAATTGATTCGTCTTATGTCAACCCTTCCTGTTTCTACGGCAACTACGGAAAGAGCATTTTCGAGTATGAAGCATGTTAAAATTGCCATTCGCAATTCAATGGGAGATGAGTTTTTTGCCAATTGCTTGTCTCTCTACCTTGAACAGGACCTTACTTTGAAAATTGATCTAGATTCCGTAATTGATGAATTCGAATCTTTAAAGACTCATCGAGCACAACTTTGTTAGATTGTTTTTAATCAATAAATTTAGATATTAATCTAGATTATATTATAAAATTCTCTTTTTTCTTATGTGGTTATACTTAAAATATATTGTATAATTTTACTTAATATTAAGCCACCCCATCGACAAATCTTGGGTCTACCCTTGGTTGATTGGTGTCTTACCACTTCACACCTAGTGTTCATTTTGGGTTGTGTGTATCTAAACTTGGGATTCTCGGTTTAGTTAAGTTCTACCTCTTCCCAAAGCTTTAATTTTATCGATGTAATGTTTACCTTTTGATCATATCCACATTTCTTTTTTCCATAAAAAAAAAAAAATTAATCCAAATGCCCATTCTAAAATTCTCACAATTTTAAATATTTCTCCCTTATATTACCTTCTTTTGTTGTGCTTTTTTTTCTCCATTCACTACAAGAAAAAACACATTTGGCGACTAAATTTTTAGTCGCCAAAAGTCAATTTTTAGTCGCCAAAAGTCGGTTTTTAAGTTTCCTCAACTAAATTTTTTAGTCGCCGGTTTGGTCGCTGGAAAACGGTCGGGAAAGGTATTGGCGACTAAAAAAATTTTAGTCGCCAAAAAGCAAGTCTTTACCGACCAAACTTTGGTTGCCAATAGTCAATTATATTTTTTAAATTATACATTTACCGACCAATGTTTTAGTCGCCAATAGTCAATTATATTTTTTAAAATTATACATTTACCAACTAATGTTTTCGTCGCCAATACTCAAGGAATTGGCGACCAAATAGATTTAGTCGCCAAAAGCTCATTCCGAAAAAAAAACATTTTCACTCTGCTCTTGTGCAGATTCGAACCATCAACCTCCCATACCATAAACCTTATGCAACACACTCTTTGCACTACACCTCCATAACACCATATGATTATATATGCAACATATGTTATTTATATAGTACATAGACTCGTAGTAATATAAAAGTGTATATATATAAACATAATTATTTTTTATTGAACATAATTTATGTAAAAATAAATTATTTAGTAGAAAAAAAAAGGACACCACTTTTGGCGACTAAACATAATTTTAGTCACCAATTCTATACTTTTGGCTACTAATTATTTTTTAGTCATTAAAAAATAAATTTCCTGCACTAAAATTACCACTTTTGGCGACTAAACTTAATTTTAGTCGCCAAAAAGCTCACTTTTGGCTACTAAACATGTTTTTAGTCGTCGAAAAGCTCACTTTAGGCTACTAAATTTTTTTTAGTCGGTAAAAGTCATATATCGGCGACCAAACAAATTTTTAGTCTCCAAAACCTACACTTTTGGCTACTAAAATTTTTTAGTCGCCAAAAATCTTTACTTTTGGCTACTAATGCTTTTTTAGTCGCCAAAACCTATACTTTCAGCGACCAAAGGTGATTTTTTAGTCGCCAAAAATACTTTTTCTTGTAGTGTATGCACATTGTTTATACACAATATAATAAGAAATATGATCATTCTAATATTATTAAAATAATATTGCAATACATATAGTGTGCATTTGAAAGATTATAAATTTATTTTCTCATCCAATACCATTAAACGGAAAATGGTAGAATTCATTTGTAATTAACTGCATGAATAAAGATTTAAGATGTGTATTGATTTTGAAATAAATCCCCCTTTAATTGATACATTGAATACATTAAATATAATTATATTTTTATTAAAATATTGTAACATACCTTGTCTTGTATTTTTCTATTTTCTTTTTTTAAATTATCATATTTGATGTGTTCATATGGTGTCTATGTTGTATCACACATGTACATCCATTAGTTTGATGCAGAGAAGTATTAAAAGTCAAATAACCACGAGGGATTGTTGGAGGTCGAGTCTTTTAAAGAGTTGTTAGAGATTTATTTAATCGTTAATTTTAAAAATTTGTTCTTAATAGTTTAAATACAAGATAAAATACCAAGGGCCGCACTCCCTTGAGTCCATAACATGATGGGGAGTGTGGCCATGCATACA